TGTCAATAGGATAAAATGGCAGTCTGCAGAATGTGAAAAGATCTACACCAACTACACATCTGGCAGAGGGCTAATTTACAAAATATATAAAGAAATTAGGAAACTAGACAACAAACCAATCCAATTTTTAAAATGGGGTAGAGATCTAGACAGAATTATCAATTGAGAATCTCAAGTGGTCGAGAAACACTTAAAGAAATGTTCAACATCCTTAGCCATTAGGGAAATGCAAATCAAAACAACTCTGAGATTCCATCTTATACCTGTCAGAATGGCTAAGATCCAAAATACAAGTAACAGGTCATGCTGGAAACGCTGTAGAGCAAGGAGAGCGCTCCTCTGTTGCTGGTGGGAACATGGATAGTTAGGGTTTCTATTGTTGTGAAAAGACACCATTACCACGGCAACTCTTATACAGAAAACATTTAATTGGCATGGCTCATTTCCAGTTTCAGAGGTTCAGTCCATTATCATCATGATGAGTAGTATGGCAGTGTGCAGGCAGACATGGTGCTGGAGTAGTAGCTGAGAGTCCTTCATCTTGCAGGCAACAGGAGTCAGTTGAGACACTGGACAGTGTTGTAAGTATAGGAAACCTCAAGGCCCAACCCCATAGTGACACACTACCTCTAACAAGGCCAAACCCACTCCAACACAGCCACACTTTCTAATAGTGCCACTCCCTATAAGATTATGGGGGACAATTACATTCAGACTACCACAGATTGCAAACTTGTACACCCACTTTGGAAATCAATATGGTGGTTCCTCAGAAAATTGAGAATCAATCTACCCCAATATCCAGCTACACCACTCTTGGGCATCTACCTAAATGACGCTCCATCATACCACAAGGACACTTGCTCAAGTATGTTCATAGGTTTATTTGTAATAGCCAGAACCTGGAAACAGCCTAGATGGCCATCAACTGGAGAATGGATAAAGAAAATGTACATTTACACAATGGAGTACTACTCAGCTTTAAGAACAATGACAGCAGGAAACTTGTAGGAAAATGGATAGAGCTAGAAGAAAAATTACCCTGTGTGAGGTAACCCAGATCAAGCAGAACAGACAGGGTATTTACTCATTTATAATTGGATATAAGCTATAAAATAAACGATAATCAAGCTATATTCCACAGACCCAGACAGGATAAGGAACAAGGAGGGCTCAGGGGGGAATACATGGATCTCCCTGGGAAAGGGAAATATAATAGATTTTGTGGGTGAACTGGGGGTAGGTGGGGAGGATAAGTGGGGATGGGACCCTGAGGAATCAAGTTGGGGGCGTGAAGGGTGAGAGTACTAAAGGAGACTGGAAAAGAGGAGCATCAGGTGATGTAGAAACCTAGTGTAAGGGGAATTCCTAGACATCTCCAAGGATGACCCCAGCTAAGACTCCTAGCAACAGGGGATACATAGCCTGAACTGGCCATCTCCTGTGACCAGGTAAGACTTCCAGTGGAACCAGCCCAGCCACATAACCTTTGACCTGTGATCTGCTCTGCTTAGAAGATGTGCTGGGGTGAGAGAGGCACAGATTGTGGGAGTGGCCAGCCAATGGCTGGTTTAGCCTAAGAACCATGCCAAAAGAGGAAGCCCACCCCAGATGCGATCTAGAGTGCCAGGACACAGAAGCTGTGTGGCCCAGAGACCTTGAATTGACCCAAGCACAACTGACAAAAAGTCAGTGTAGTGATGCTTATCAATAGTTTGCTATACTTGACTAGCCCAACTCATAACAGAGGTTTCATCTGGGAACTAGTAGAAACAGATACAGAGAGCCACAACCAAACAGGCAGAGCTTAGGGAATCCTGCAGAAGAGGGAGAGGAAGGATTGTAGGAGCCAGAGGTGTCAAGGACACAAAAAACCCCACAGAATCAATTAATCTAGGCTTATAGGAGCTCACAGAGACTGAATTTATAACCAGGGAGCCTTCATGGGACCAATCTAGACCCCTCTGTACATCAGCTTGTTCTTGTGTAGCTTGTTCTTCTAGTGGGACCCCTAGCAGTGGGAGAAGGGTCTCTCTGACTCTCATACTAGGTTATCTTGTCTAGCTGTAATGTGAAGGGAGGTGCTTAGTCTTACTGCAACTTGGTATGTATGGTGATGTATTGTTAATGATCTAATGAAGCTTACCCGAAAATCAGAAACAAAGCAAGCCGCAGCCATAGAGGCCAGGCAGTCGTGACTCACACCTTTAATCCCAGCAGCCACACTAGTTAGCCATAGAATATGGGCAGTGGTGACTCACACCTTTAATCCCAGCAGCCACACTAGTTAGCCATAGAATATGGGCAGTGGTGACTCACACCTTTAATCCCAGCAGCCACACTAGTTAGCCATAGAATATGGGCAGTGGTGGTGCATGCCTTTAATCCCAGCACTAGAGAAGTACGTAAGACAGGAACAGAGTCTTAGTCTGCATTTGGTATTCATTCTGCAGTCATGCTAAGGATAGGATCACCCACCCTTGGTAGAGGTAAGAATTCTCTAGTGGCTTGGCTGCTTTGCTTTTCTGATCTTTAGCTTGAACCCCAATATCCGTCTCTTGGCTTTTAGCTGCTCTCCATGGCAGAATTGCCCTTTTCTAAATAGAAATGGAGTAGTAATATTTGGGTTAAGTCCACACAACTATAATCTTGATCTCTTATCATACAGTGAGTTTCTCTTAAGAGAATTACACAAATAATTATTTAGAAGCCACCCTAGCTAACTAACTCTTTACTTGTGAACTCTAGGTCTTTAGATAAACTTAAACCATAGATGAAGAATCTAGCAAATATTGAGGAGGCACAAATTCTTGCATTAAAATAGATGGTCTTGTGGAGGGGAAGATGCTAAGTTCACATGGAATTCCATGTCCTGCCATATTGTTACTGACACGCATGGAGTTGAGGCATCATGTAATGTTCATTCAAGTAGCAATGTTAAACCTTGTTTTTAATGTATGAATTTTATGAAACCTAATGTCAAATTACCATAATCACAATAATATACAACTTTTTAAATGTTATACTTTTTCATAAAAAATGTGTTACCAATGTGTGTTAACATGTCTATACTTACATATTCTCCTGTTCCAAAGCTCAGACAAGGTTTTAAGTAACTGCATAATGTTGGGATTTTTTCTTATTTTGAATCATGTGTATATGTGTTCATGCATGTGGGTTTGTGTACATGAGTGTAGTGCCCAAAGAGGCCAGAGGTGGCATCAAATTACTGGAGTTGAAGTTACAGGCAGTGGAGAGCCACCTGATGTGTATAAAATATATTCTGATCATGGATTCCTCTCCCCCACCTCTTCCCAACACATCTAACTCCATTGACTTTTTTCTCTTAAAAAAAATCAGGCAACTTAAAAAAAGTAAACAAAAATGGGGGGGGCACCACAGCAAACTAGCAAAAGAAACACAGATGGAAACACACAGGCACATAAACCATACCCCTAACAATACATCAGAAACCGTAATATATAAGCAAAAACCTGTAAGATTAAAAAAAAAAGAAGAAAAAACGCCCTAAGCAATGAGACAAAAAATAAATCTACAAAATCACCCTTGAGCAATTTTTGTGGTGGCCATCTACTGCTGGGCATGGGGCCCACACTAAAGTGTGATTTGTTTACCCAGTTTGACTCCACTTGAGAAAAAGGATTTTTTTCTTTGCAAGCACTCATCTGTGGCAGATGGTTTTTGGCTAGAGATGGGAGCTCATGTCCAGTTGCCTCTCTCGGCACTAGGATCCTGTCTGGTGGGGAGGTGTGCAGACACCATGCACACTTCTAGAGAACCTGTGAGTCTGTATGTGCTGCAGCCCTCCTGTCTGGAAGACATTGTCTTAGTTAGGGTTTTTATTGCTGTGGAAACACCATGATCACACCAAATCTTTTTTTTTTTGTTTTTTTTTTTTTGTTTTTCGAGACAGGGTTTCTCTGTATTGTTTTGGAGGCTGTCCTGGAACTCACTTGGTAGACCAGGCTGGCCTTGAACTCAAGAGATTTGCCTGCCTCTGCCTCCCGAGTGCTGGTATTAAAGGCATGCGCCACCAATGCCCTGCGAGCACATCAAATCTTAGAAAGAAAATATTCAATTAGGGCTACCTTACAGCTCAGAGGTTTAGTCAATTATCATGGTGGAATATGGCAGAGTGCAGACAGACATGGTGTTACAGGAGCTGAGTTTTAAATCTTTCCTTTTTTTATTTAAATTAGAAACAAGCTTGCTTCATGTCTCAGGAGTAGAAGTGAACTGAGACACTGGATGGGGTTTGAACATGAGACCTCAAAGCCAACCTCCATAGTGACACTTCCTCCAACAGTGCCATCTGTACAGCAACAAGACCATACCTCTTTTTTTTTTTTTTTTTTTTTTTTGGTTTTTCGAGACAGGGTTTCTCTGTATTGTTTTGGAGGCTATTGGTCCAGCCCAGCCTCGAACTCACAGAGATCCGCCTGCCTCTGCCTCCCGAGTGCTGGGATTAAAGGCGTGTGCCACCACCGCCCGGCTAAGACCATACCTCTTAATAGCGCCCATGACATATCTAGACTCAGGGTCTTAGCCACCTGAACAGTGTCAGGCATGAGCTCCATTTCATGGAGTGGGGCTTTAATACAACCAGTGGTTGGTTCCTCCACAAGCTTTGTGCCACAAAAGCACTAGCAGTAAAAAGAATATCCAGTACTTTGATAGGTATGCCTTACAAATAGAAGTTTCACTATTCCATACAAGTCCTCAGGCAGTGTGATGTCTGGACATCTCAACAGTTCATCACCGTGCACACTTGTCTTAAGATTGTCAAGGCATAAAGCTCCTAGAACAAGTGTGAATAGTGATGAAATGATCAATAAAAGTGAAGTATAAAAGTCAAGATAAATCTCCAAGTAACTGTGTAAAACTGGCTGACAAAACCAAATTAAGAGTCAAACCGAAAGGGTTCTTGTTGTCTACATACAGATGAAAACAAAACAAAAAAGGCAAGAAATTCATAAAGATAAGAGTGCAATAAAACGTCAATTTATTGCAGTTTTTCACATGGTTAATGATATTTATTCCAAATAACCTGGAAAAAGTTTTTAATAAAAGAGCAGGTGATACAATGCTTGGTAACACACCACCATTGAGCCATTTCCAGCTGGATTGTTTGAAATGCTAATGATTTAGTGTTTTGTGTTAGCATGGATCTGATGAGCAGGTTACTTCTCTACCTGTACTTTGGTTTTAGCACCTGTGTAGCTTTTGTTTAATTCATTTGTGTATTCTGTGGGACACCTTGTGGCTGGTTCTGTCCTACTGTATAGGCTCTAGGGATCAAACTTAGGTCATTGGACCTTTATAGAATGAGCCATTCACCATCCTCCTGTTCTTTCAACGTTTATTTTTATTTACAGATGTATTTAGATGTGCACCTAAACTCACAGAAACCAGAAGTGGGTATTGAGTGTCCACTTCCATCACTCACCATCTATCCCTCCCATAAAGGAACCTGGGGATCATGTCTCAGCAAGGCTAGAAATCAGCTAGTTCAAGTGATCCCCTGTCTCCACCATTATTAGAACTGGGGTGACAGGTATTTGCAGAAATGCTGACTTGTCAAATAGGTGCTAGGATCACCATTTATAAAGCAAGAGCTCTATTCAGGTGGTGGTGGTGCACACCTTGAGTCCCAGCAGAGGCAATTGGATCTGAGTTCAAGGCCAGCCTGGTCTAGAGTGAGTTCAAGGACAGCCAGGGTGACAAAGAGAAATCCTGTCTTATGAAACCAAAGAACAAAATAAAGCAAGAACTAACCACCGAGCTCTCTAACACCATCTTGTGGAGCCTCTGGTGGTGGTGAAGTCACACAAGTTCTGTCAATAGTGTTCCTGCTTTTCTTCATACGGTGTTCTCTGTTGCTAAGGCTTCTTATTTGTGTGGGTCTTTGGTGTGGAATGAGGTCAGATTTGCACTGGAAAACTTTCCTGTATTCTTTACATTCTGTAAGCTTCTCAATTATTAATTTCCCTGGCGTAATACATTAAGGTCTGGTTCTATGTAGAACTCTTCCTTGAATCCCTCATATTCGTAGGGTTCCTCAGCCGTCTGACTTCTCCAATGTTCAGTGACTTCTGACTCGTGGAGGATTTTCCTGTGTTCTTCATTCATGAAGTTTCTTCCTGCATGTCTTTTCTGATGTGCTGTGAGTTGACACTTCCAGTGGAAAGATTTATTGCATTCTTTACATTCATAAAAATTCTCAGATGAATGAACTATCCTATGTGCAGTGAGTTGTGACTTATGGAAAAAGGTTTTCCTGCAGTCTGTACATTCATAAGGCTTCTCACCAGTATGAGTTTTCTGATGTATATTGAGCTTTGACTTGCGGGAAAACCCTTTGTTACATTCTTCACATTTATAAGGCTTTCCACCCAAATGAATTTTTTTATGCCGAGTAAGGTCTGACTTGTAATGGAAAGCTTTATTGCATTCAGTACACTTATGAGGCTTCTCGTCCGTATGGGTTCTTTCATGTGCATTGAGATGAGACTTACGGAAGAAGGCTTTCCCACATCCTTTACATATGTAGGTTCTCTCTTGCCAGTGAGTTTTCTCGTGTGCAGTGAGGTCTGACTGCCAATGATACGATTTACCACATTCAGTACATTCAAAGCGCTTCTCTACATTATGAGTCCGTCTTCGATGCTTAATGAGGGTTGAGTTGGTACAGAAAGTTTTCTCACAGTCTTCACATTCATAGAGTTTCCCACCTCTGTGCAACTTTTGACGACATGTTTTCGCACGTGCTCGATGACGGGATTTTGTCCCTTTGTAGACTTCCTGTTGAGTCTTTAGTTTTGCCTTGAAACAGAAGAAATTTTTACATTCATTAGTATTCAGGCACTTTTTCTTAGAATGAGCTGCCTAATATTCCAAAGTATGATTTCTTTTTTTTTAATAGTATAATTTACTTTTATTTCATTTGCATTGGTGTTTTGCCTGCAGGAATATCTGTGTGAGGGTGTCAGATCTTGGAGTTATAGACAGGTATGAGCTGCCATGTGGGTGCTGGGAAGAACAGCCTGATCTCTTAACCACTGAGGCATTTCTCCAGCCCCCCAAAGTATGATTTCTTAATGAATGATTTCTCATAATCTCTAAATACTTGGGTGTGTGCTTTCCCATTTACTGATCTGGTTTCCTGGCAAACATTTCCATATATACGACATTCAACACTTTGCTTCCACATAAACCACACTGTTGACAAGGAAAGGATTTGAAGTATTTACAGAATTTACTAGAAGTCCCTTTCATAGGAAATTCCTTTAAGTATCAATAATATTGCCTTTGTTTCAAAGGCTACCCCTCTTTGAAAATACTGAATATAGTACTATAAACTTTACTGTCATGTAAACTTAAGATGTTGAGTCTGGTAGCCTTACTTAGATGAAAATTATCTGGTTCTTCTGCAGGCTGCATCTAATTAGGCAGTTCATTCTTCTTGTGTGTGCATGCTAATTATTTCATACTGAAATATGGTTTGATCTTACATTAAATGCTTTACTTACTTCAATCATGACTTCATCTGGTATCTTTTGGTTAGTTATTTCAAGTTGCCCCAAATGTATCTCAGGATTTTCCTTGCTGGTGTCAATCAGGGCACTTACTTTATGAACATCTATAATATTAAAAATGTCACAATTCAATAATAATACATATTTTTATAGAATTCAAACATAAACGTAAAGTCATGCCTTCATATGCTTACTGTGATGGTTAGTTTTATGTCAACTTGACACTGCTAGAGTCACTCTGAAAGAGGGGACCTCAGTTAAGAAAATGCCCAGACAACAAGATTTGCCTATGTGCAAGTCTATGGGACATTTTCTTGAATGATGTGCAAAAGAGGAGTGGTCAGTGCCACCACTGGGCTGGTGGTCCTAGACCCCATAAGAAGGGAGACTGGGGCTGGGCGTTGGTGGCGCACGCCTTTAATCCCAGCACCTGGGAGGCAGAGGCAGGCGGATCTGTGAGTTTGAGGCCAGCCTGGTCTACAGAAAGAGTCCAGGACAACCTCCAAAACAATACAGAGAAACCCTGTCTTGAAAAACAAAACAAAAAAAAAAAAAAAAAAAAAGAAGGGAGACTGAGCAAGCCACAGGGAGCAAGCCAGTAAGCAGCATCCTCCATGGTCTCTGCTGGAATGATGGACTGTGCTGAGGAACTATAAGCTGAAAATAAATTTTTCCTCCCTAAGTTATTTTTGGCCATGGTATTTTAACATAGCAACAGAAAGTTCAACTAAGACACTGAACTACAGTAAGTGTATGTATTTATACATTTCATTCTATAATGAATATAACAAATTACACTAACAGATACTAGGATTCTTGCTTTGTTTTACTGTTAAAATACAGAATTAATTCATGCTTATTGTAGAAGGCAATCAATTCTTTTAATATTAAAGAATAACCTTGTTGGTCAGAGAAATCTTGCTTTAGTTTTGTCTTTCAAATACATGAGCCAATGCTTCCTGGTCATTATAGTCTTTGCTAAGACATATGTTATGCTAATAGGTTTGTCTTCTAAAGTAACTACGCACATTCCTCTTTTGCCAGTTTCAGGATTCTTTCTTTTGTACTATTGGCAATTTAATTTTAATGACCTTAAAAAGGTCTTTTTGGATGCCATTTTTTTTCCTTTTTGTATCAAGTCACAGATTGCATTCTGTTTGTTATTTTCATTTTATTGTATTCAGTGTGTGTATGTGTGTGTGTGTGTGTGTGTGTGTGTGTGTGTGTGTTGCAGGTACATGTAGGCCATGGTGTGTGGGAGCCTACAATGGTGCGTATGTGGAGATCCAAGAACAACTTGGGGAGTCTGTTCTCTTCTTCCCCTGTATGGGACCCAATAATAAAACTCAGGTGGTCAGGCCTTGTACTGTCTTTCCTTACTGAACCACCTCACTGGGCCAGGTTAGGTTTCTTAGTCATAGCCAGAAGGTATGGAGTGTTATAGTAGTCATGATTGCTCTGTATTTCCCCTCAATCTGACCAGAGTAATTCTCAACCTTATCTACAAACCCCGTTTTGCTTTGTTTTTGTTTTTTTCTGGCACACTATACACTGTATGATGCTTTTCAGTGAATATCCTAGTTATGGTTGAGCATTTCCCTTCCAAGACCTCAGGTTGTATTTTCTTCTGCAATTTCTCTCAATTTCTTACTGAAGATTCTGAATTTCTTAGGAAAGATTTAAATTTATTCTTCATTTGTCTATTTACTGGAAAATGCTTTCAGGTCAGATCACTGTTAAATGTAGCATATGAGTTTCGTGCATGGCATCCTTTCCACCTCCCTACCCTTGGAATCGGGTATTAGAGGGCCAACACATGTGGGAAGATTTTTTTGTATTTTGCCATGATTGATGTTCCCGTACTGTGATTTGTACAATGAGGATGCATCAATCTTTCCATTTTATGCAAGGGAGAGACTTCTTTGTCATTATTCTTCACCTGTAGCCTTAACCTGCTGTACCACTCAGAAGAAGACCCAATATAGAAATGAAAAGTAAAGATAATGCATACAACACCAGTAACCACACAAAGAATATACAAAAATGTAGAACAGTGAAAATGAAACCTAATGAATATTAAAAGGAGAATGAGAGCGAGATATAATATAGTATGCTAAGTATATTAGAATGTTTCTAGGTTATTGATTTCCAAATGTATCTATATTCTAAATATGATCAGTATCAAGTCATTAATTTATATCCAATTACTAGTTACATGCAAAAGTTAGAAAATAGCCATCTCAAAGTGAAAGGGAAACTAAACGAAAATATCCATAAACAGCAAACTCACTGTGTGCCTTTGCTAACATAAAGACTCCTACATATTTTTCCTGATAAAGTCTCCCTGGCTATTAGCTCATCACTTACTTCATACCTTCGATTCATTGTGTTCTATCTAACTGAAGCTCTTTTAGAGATGTTTTATATGACCAGTATTGATAACATGACAATTACAAAAATGATAACCTACCTATAAATTAAAAAATAAAGAGCGGGTGTTTGAAAAAGTCAGGAAGGTCCAATAACAAAGCTGTTATATAGAACAAGACAGGAGGCCGAACAAGAAGTTAAGTCAAGCGTTTAACCAGTGGGAAGCACTAGGAGGATCTATATACGGGGATTTGTGGCAAGTCAAGATGTTTTTGGCAAATTTTCAGCAACAAAATAAGGGAGAAGTGACACCACTTCTTAAACTGGATGGAGAGGAAGAGGAAGAAGAAGAAGCAGAAGCAGAAGAAGAAGAAGAAGAAGAAGAGGAAGAGGAGGAAGAGGAAGAGGAAGAAGAGGAAGAAGAAGAAGAAGAGGAAGAGGAAGAGGAAGAAGAAGAGGAAGAGGAAGAAGAGGAAGAGGAAGAGGAAGAAGAAGAAGAGGAAGAGGAAGAGGAAGAAGAAGAAGAGGAAGAGGAAGAAGAAGAGGAAGAAGAAGAAGAAGAAGAAGAAGAAGAAGAAGAAGAAGAAGAAGAAGAAGAAGAAGAAGAAGAAGAAGAAGAAGAAGAAGAAGAAGAAGAAGAGGAAGAGGAAGAAGAAGAGGAAGAAGAAGAAGAAACGTTTCAGCAATGTCACCACCAGCTGTTTCAGGACTGAGTTTAGATAAAATGGGATTTTTAAAAAACCAACAGCTCAACATGACCCACATCTGATGAGCTCCCTGCCTGCTGTCCTCCTAGTACATTTACTCACTTGGGAGACTCCACACTGAGGCTTCTGCTGGGCTCCATGGCCCATATCCACGTTCCAAATTGAAGATCAACTTAGGTTTGGCTGTGCAGAGCTCTGTAAATTGGAAATAATAAGAAATGGTGCCAGTGTTGTGACAGTCTACTAATGAGAACCACAGCACCACTTCTGGAACTGTTGTTCATAAAGTGAGTAAGAAGCTCTGGTCAGAGAGGATCTATACTCTCATTTCTCATTCTTCACTAGCTAGAAGGCCACCCTTTTGTGGCATTAAACTACAAGACAGATAACCCAAAACAGTGATCTTGAGAAAGTTTACCAGGCTGGAAGGATGGTTATGGGATAAGAGCAAATAAATACTGCTCTTGGGAGACCCAAGTTCAGTTCTCAGTATCAAACTTGGCAGCTCACAACGGCTCAACTCCAGCTCTGGGAGATCCAATACACTCTGGTGTCCACGAGTGTCCACACACATGGTGCTCACTCTCACAGACACATATACATAGCTACAAATAAAATAAATCTTGAAAGTAAGTGATGATTATTATACTTGTTAACCAAGGAAAAAGTGTTTGCTGAGGCTGATGGGGGCGGATGTTATACTTACTCAGGAACACCAGGCTGCTGTAGGTCTCCAGCATCACGTCCCTGTAGAGGGCTCTCTGGGCAGCGTCCAGGTCCTGCCACTCCTCCCAGGTGAAGTCCACGGCTATGTCCTCAAATGACACCAATCCCTGGAATGACATGCTTCTCTTTAGTTCAAGGAACACAAAATGGGAGCTCCCTTCTCCCTCCATCCCTCCCTCCCTCTCTTTCTCTCTCTCTGTATGTGTCTGTGTTACTAGTTTTGTACAGAAGGTACAGCTTGATTTGTATTCTGTATCATGGAAAAAGAAAAATACCAGCATCTTTATCTGTGTCAACATAGTGATTCTTGAAAACAAAACTAGCCTTTTCCCATTCCAACAAAAACAAAAGCCGTAGAAAACCACTCAGGTATGTAAGGGAAGGGGAAGTGTTAAGAGCAAGGGGAGCCGGGCATCGGTGGCGCACACCTTTAATCCCAGCACTCAGAAGGCAGAGGCAGGCAGATCTCTGTGAGTTCGAGGCCAGCCTGGTCTACAAGAGCTAGTTCCAGGACAGCCTCCAAAGCCACAGAGAAACCCTGTCTCGAAAAACCAAAAAAAAAAAAAAAAAAAAGGGCAAGGGGAAAGAATACATGAACCCAATCATAATCATATAAATGTCACATTCAGTCTCCAAACAAAGAAAATGCAGATGCCGAGGTTTGAGTCACAGCACTGTTAAAGGTGTATACATACAAGGGCCAAAGGTCTGAGCTCAGTTCTCAGCACCCATCATAGAGTAAGTATGTCTTGGTCAGGGTTACCATTGCTGCGGTCAAACACCAGGACCAAGGCAACTTGGGGAGGAGATGCTTTATTCCACTCACAATTCCATATCACAGTTCATCATCAAAAGCAATGAAGGCAGGAGCTCATGTAGGTCAGGAGTTGATGCAGAGGCCATGGAGGGGTGCTGCCTACTGGCTTGTTCCCCATGGCTTGCTCAGTCAGCCTGCTTTCTCATAGAACCCAGGACCACCAGCCCACGGGTGGCACCACCCACTGTGCTTGCTTACAGCCCCATCTTATAGAAACATTTTATTGAGGCTTCCTGCTCTTAGATGACGTTAGCTTGTGTTGACTTGACATGTATCTATGCAGTGAAAATCCATTCTCAACCTGTAAGTTGCAGCTCCATGTGGGGTTACATAACTGAAGGCAGGGGGTCAAAAAAAGGGGGAACACTAAAAGGTTTTGAAACATGCAGCCAAAATTAATTTAAAATCAAATGTGGACTGAATTCAAAGTGTTATGGGCAGGGCTCACCTTTGTGCCACTGGGTGACTTCAGAACACACAACACGCATACTTTGTGCTGTACATGCCATTGTGCTACAAAGCACCACAGACGCCCTCTCTGCTCCAGACTCAAGTATGTTATACATTGCAGATTTTACATGGTTATCTGCTCTTTCAAAAGCACAACTTTTGATGAAAAACAAAGCTATTTAATATTTTCTATCCTTTCTTGACATTTATCTTTACACAAATAAATTAGAAATTCTCACTAGTATGAAAAGTTGCTTTCATCTATAAGAAATATTAATAGATGTATCAAAGCATTTTTTGAAATAAATAAAATTCTTATTACAGCAAATGTATATTTATTTTACACACCTAAGAGCATACAAGTATTTCCTGGGGGGGGGGTAAAAAATACAAAACATATAAGAATCCCTGGTATAGACGCCTGACTTTCCTTCCACCCATGGGTGACAGGGCTAATAAACATCTACACATGTATCAAGTCTCCTCAAAAGCAAAAATGAAGCAGGCATTGGTGGTACATGCCTTTAATCCCAGCACTCAAGAGACAAAGGCAGGGGATCTCTATGAGTTTGAGACCAGCCTAGTCTATAAGAGCTAGTTCTAGGACAGGCTTCAAAGCCACAGAGAAACCCTGTCTTGAACCCCCCCCCCCCGACCAAAAAAAGCAAAAGTGATTTGTCAGATGTCAATACATTGACCACTGGGGAAAAAGTACAGCAAATCTATCGTGAGCAACATGCCAGAGGTCTGGAGCATGATTCCAGACACCTAACATCCCCCCAAGGAAGGAAGATTGGGCACATAAAACTAGAACCCTAGTGTTCATTGTGTATCTATACTAACCTACCTAGAACACAGAACGAAGCCCAACTCTGTGTACTAACAGAAACAATCCACTAGTTACACACACACACACACACACACACACACACACACACACACACACACACACACGATCAGGCGGGTTAAGGTCTCATGTCTCTCTAGGAGGGAGTTCGGCTACCTGCTTTGCTGATGGTTGAGCTGTTATCTAACCTGCTCCAGGGAACTAATAAAGCAAGCTCTGGCCTGAAGGAAAGCATGGAGCTCCTGAGCCTACCACTGCTCACTGCACAGACAGCCCCGGACCCACCAGTTCCCATCAGGAGTCTGCCCAGATACTTACATTCATCTTTTACAGTTGATTTGTGGGAACAGAAGCTAACCTCCAAAGCTCTGGGAACAAAGCCACCTGAGGCTTTCAAGCCATAAAAACACATGGCTCTAGGGTAGAACTAATTACCATCACTTAGTTACACAGACAGGGACTTTCAACTGGTCAAAGAGAACAAGACACCGGAGAGCTGAGGCGTGAATGACACGTGCCCTATGCCCAGGGATCAGGGCTCATCTTGAAAGAGGGGGTAGGAAGGTTTGAAGAGCCAGGTGTTACAGAGGACTGCTCTGAGACAGGACAAGAGAAGTCCTGACAGGGACACTGAACTCATGCGCTCACAGAAGCTATGTTGCAAGCATCAAGTCAGGTCAGACTCCATCACGGTGGGAGAGGAGCCTGTAAGTACCATGTGAGCTTTTGGCAACTGGTGGCTGTGGGGTAAGGAGTTAGTTTACCTCTGACAAGGCCCATGTTCTAGCAATGATCCTACACCCAGCACACACTAGCATCACCAAGTAGACTGAGGGATTGCTTTTGTCTTCTTAAGTAAAAATTAATGGAAGTGCTTTCTTACAGAGCAAGGACTAGGTTTTAAGATAATTGTAGTTTTTAAGTTTGTCAAGATTTTAAATATAAAAATTCCTAAAACATGAGTCAAGTTTTTAGTGTTACAGAACAGCCGGGTTTCAAACCATAATTTGTTCTTCAAAACTGCTATAAGGATGCTGTGGTGATTTAACAGCCCCCCCCCAAGCTAAAGCCAGTAAGTGAAAGGACTGAGGTAACAGCCTATACATTAGCTATTGCCCTTGGGGCAGCCAGGTCCCAGGGACCAGGAGAAAGGAAACCTTAGCAACCCTCTGAGCCATCCCAGAAGATCACACAACTGACAGAAGAGTGGGAGAGGCCGAGATGCTCCAGACAAGCTGCTAAAAGCAACCTTCAGCTGGCCATAAAGAACTTTATTTGTGGCTACCCAGGGGAAAAAATAAAATCTCCCAGCTCCCAGCCAGGGTTCTCATCCTGACCTTGTCCTGCTGGGGACCCGATCTCTACAGTGGCCAGCTTTAGCCAACCCTTAAAGCTGGACTCAGTGTGTCTCAGATAAGACTCAGCACGCACCAGATTCTTCTCATAAGCTCCAGACTAGAAAATCTCCCCAACTTCATTTTACGGTGGCAGGACACAGACTTTGAGAGAATGCTATAATGACCCCCACAGGAGCCCCTCTGAGTAATTGTACTTCAGCCCAAAAAGCTGACCCAGTAGCCCTGGCTGAGGTTCTCCACATGGGACAGGAATGAAACTTAACACTTGAACAGGTCGGGCCCCTGCTTTCCATGCAACCAATTGGGGAGAAAAGGGGTCTTCTATTGCCATAGTATCCCAATTAAACTTGTCCCTGAGATTTTGATCTTACTGGCAACCATCTGGCTTCTGATTTAGGTGACCATTATACATTTCAAGGCCCACCAGAAGGACCCTCTGACATTTCCGGGTCAGTTAACTGGTCAAACAGGCAGTGCAGCTTCTAAAACAGGCTGCCTAAGTTTCCTAACCACACTCTCCATGGGCTTTAGATCAGATATCTGAAGCTATTGCCTCAGGATGTTACAAACCCACACAGGATGTCTATCGCTCCCTGGGCTCTCCCAATAGACACTCCTCAACAGTTTTCATTGGGCCTCACAGCCGGGGCGCAAGTCTTCCTCCTTCTGATTGCAAAGCCTCTTCAGACAATGTGATCTGTTTCCAAAATCCGTCCTACCTGTTGTTAGTGTAATCCTGAAGGATAAAAATATCCTTTCCCCGGGAATAAAAGACTCAACACTTACTGGACAAGACCTTATCAAATACTCAAGTCTCCTGATGAGGCCCATCTGCAGATTCATCTGTCCAGAGTTAATACTGTTCCACCCCAGCTCAGACGAACTATTCCTGTGAGCCTCTGGGACCCCCAGCCCGAGGAGACTTCAAGACACCGATGAGTGGCAACAGACAGCGCCATTTCCTGAATTATTACCCAGCCCTTTAGTCCCGTGCGCTATGTGGCTGGGCTTTACACTAGGCACAGCCTTCGTCCCATCCTCACACCACCACCACCAGTCACCTGTCTGTCTCCCAAACCACCACCACCAGTCACCTGTCTGTCTCCCAAACCACCACCACCAGTCACCTGTCTGTCTCCCAAACCACGCAATGGTCACCTTCAACCACTGTTACTTCACCGTTCTGTGCCCGTTTGTCTTGAGTTCTGTTTCTCTGGCTCTCGCTGGTCTCATCTCCTACTTCTGATTACATGCCAGGAAGCTCCTGATGGTTGACATCCTGGCTTCTCCCTCTCCCCCAGTCCTGGGCAACCAGGCCCTGTTCTTGCTCCCGACTCCTCTCCTCCTGCCCAGGGATTTCTCCTCAGCACCGGCCAGTCACTCCGTCCTACCCCTCTCCTGGGCCTGCGCCTTCTCCCTAAGGAACCTTTCCTGGTCACCGGGCTTCTCTAATCCTCGGGTTCTCTCGCTGCCCCAGGGGTGGCTCTTCTCTGGGTCCCTTCCTCGCCCCGTGATCTATCTTTGATGGGCCGCGCTTGTTAATATCCTGACACTATGCTGACAGCTCAAACTGTCAAAAGGTTGCATGGCTACATCAAGCATGCTTCAGTGGCTGCATGCAGACGCATGCGGACCTGGGGCCACATGGAGCTGGGCCAAGGGCAGCTCCATGATTCCAGTTTCAACGGTCCCAACTGCTGAGCCTTGTTCTAAACCGCTCTTTCCCCTTTTAAGGACCTCTCGATTATTCTCTTTCTTTTCATTTCTGCATCTACACCTCCCTTCGATCCCTTTCCCAATAAACTCCATGTGGGTTTGTTGAGTTTGGTGGATCGTATCTCACTGCGTGAAGCTCCAGCAAAGAACAACACGGCATTATCTGAGTTATCAGCCATTACCACTGGGCACCTGCTCCCATTACTGATGACCTCTTCCGCTTTTTCCACGTAACTGGAAGCAATATAGGGCAAAGGTTAGAGGTTAGCTTGTTTAAAGTGGCTGTCGGCTCAATATTCCTGGAATGCATGTATATAAGTCATATGCATACAATTTTTCATATTTCTGGGCTCTTCATTTCCTATCAAATATTATAGAAGTAGTGTTTAGGGCAAGGAATTGAGTTTCTTCTTAATGTTCCCCACCACAAATGTGTATGTAAATGTTTCTTACTTCTGCGGAGGCCCTCCTTCCTCACTCACCCATTAGTGCTCAGACGCTGGGTTCGCTCAACACCTCCCAACCCTATAAAGCCCAACCCCTACACCCCACTCCCTGCACCCAGCTTCCGAGTTTCCATACCGTTCTGCAGCTCACCCCTCCCAGTATCTGAAGCCCGGAGAGGAGGGCTGCTGTGTGTTGTGCTAAAGCGACGCGACTGCAAAGCAGTTCCTGCCGGTTGACTTCCAGTGGCCCCATGGCCCCAGCCGGCCCGCAGCTGCCGGGAGCTCGAGTTCCCGGGCAGGAACCAGGGACGCCGGGGGCGCCCGCAGCCCGTCCACCCCCACCCCACAGCCGGAGGGCAGAGCCAGGCTGGGGACCCTGCTGCCGCCGCCGGGCACCAGCTCCGCGGGGACGCGGATCTCACCATGGTCGGTCTCCGAGCGTCCCGCGACTGTCCGCAGTCTCCGGTGCCGGCGCAGGCTCGCCCAACCGACGACTCGGAACGACCGAACCCAAGATGGCGAACTCAGCCGGGCAGAGAACTCGGACGGTCTCGGCGGAACTTTATGCGCCGGCCCGGCTTGCCTCATTTCAGAGTCGACCTGTCACAGGGCCTGAGCGGCAGCCGAGGGCACCAATCCGTTACGGAAAGCGGGGCTTCCTGGGTGGGAGGGGCGGAGTTACCCAGACTGCCGAAGCCGTTGCAGAGTTTACGGTTGCATGGAAATACCTTACAGGTAGAGAGAATGGCATTGTCGTGCCTCTTATGCCCAGGACGCGGGACCCCAAACACGACCACCACAGAGCCAAGTCCCGATGCAAACACACAGGGCTTTATTCGTTGCGAACTCGAGCCGGGGGAGTGGTGGCGCCCACCTTTAATCCTGGCACTCGGGAGGCAGAGGCAGGAGGATCTCTGAGTTAAGAGACCAGCCTGGTCAACACAAGTTCCAGGACAGTCTCCAAAGTCACAGAGAAACCCTGTCTCGAAAAAGCAAAACAAAACAAAACAAAAAACTAATTTGGGCTGTCCAGCAGGACCCAAACCAGCAGGGGAGTGGGCTTATAAAAGGAAAAACCAGGGTCGATTGGCCCTGGGTTTCAGTAAGATTTGGAAATTTCCCTTAGAGCATCTGGTGTCCTGTTGGTGTAAGGACTCAGGCATTGTCTGGCCTGCCCCTGTCACCTGCCAGAATGCACACAGAAACCCTGGTCAGCCCAGGGTTTCATGATTGTGTAGTCTGCACGCAGGTGCTTCCTTGTCTACTGCTAGGGGTTTTAAAGAAAAAAAAATTGCATGGTTACATCAGCAGGAGGGAAGAGGTACTGGTCGGTTGCTGATTGGTTGACATTTAGCGGAATTTTCCAAAGTCTCGTTTTGGCTTGAAATACTTGATCAGCTATTCTCATTGGCTGGCTGTAGAAGGGGACATCCTGTGGTTTCTATGGCATTGTCTTGTTAACATGCAGGTGGCCTGTTACGTCGATCCCAATAGTTTTCAGGAACTGGAGATTAAAGCGGAGTTTGGTCTCTCCTGGAGTTTCTTTTCCAGGAACTAAGTATCCAGGAGGCTAGGGGGGAGGAGGGGTTTGGTCCTTCATTTTCCTGCTCTTTCCCGGGCTCTCTCTTCTCTTTCCTGCTCTCTACCTTGCAGTTCCCCTGGGGCAGACAGGACTTTTCCTGTCACCCTGTTCCTCTGTCCTCTCTCTCTGTCTCTTTACTTCTTTTCTCTTTCCTTCCCTTTTCTAATAGAACTTCTCACGAAGCTCTGTCCGCCTGGCGTGTTTGTCCCCCACCTCGGTCACCCTCGTCTACCATGGAATCTGCCATGGTCCCCTTCGAGCTTTATCCCAACAGATTTTCCTGGCATTTATTCCTGCCAGTGGCCGTCTGAGACATGCCAGGACCCTGTAGTCCTCAACTGGGTCATTTTTCCAGCTAAGGATCTCTGGATTCCTCCATCTATCACCGCCATGGCTGGTAAACCCGCCCCTCATTCTCTACCTCTGCCCAGGCTTCCATGAGTTAGGACTCTTATCCAGAATGTGGTTTCTCGCCTTTTTGGTCCAGTGAAAATCCCAGTACTGGGTGACCACGTGGCTCTAGGGCCCCGGAAGCCCTGGCCCCTCGTGTGTGCTCCGCGGACCACAAAATCAGCATGTGCCTTTTGTATCTGATGCTCCCTTAGTCCCTGGGACGCCAGAGATACAGGCTTTGGATCTTCTCTACCTCTCTCATATCAAACCATGTACGCGCGTTATCAGCACTGTACATTCTACCAGCGACCCATAGTTGGGAGTGCGGCCTCATTTCCCTCCTCTTCCCTGTATGCTAGCACACAGGCGCGCGCGCACACACACACACACACACACACACACACACACACACACACACACACACACACACACCGCCTGCCCCAGCGGTTTCCTGCCACCTCCCACCATAACCAACCATTTCTCAGAGCGGGAACCTCTCTCTGCTTGGGAAGCTAAACATCTTATGCTCCTGTTCAAAATGTCTCTTGACATGTGCCTTCCCCCCTGTTAAGGAACAATAAAATCTACACTGTTAATTAAGATTTTCTATGCTAAAAAAAAAAGGAAACTTTGTAATTTAACGATCACCCAGGGGATAATGGTTTTAAAGACATAAAGGGTATTTTATTTTTGATACCCCTTCCCTCAGCCTAGGCAGAAGGACAGGCTGGCCAGCTTCTGCCGACAAACTATGCTGCCAGACATAATTCATTTACATTTTTGCCTTTTTCTTTTGTCACTGGCAGTTTTCTTCTTTCACTGGCTCTGTTACACATGACTTGTTTGCAGAATGTTGTGCCTTTCCAGGGCCCGGTAAGGCACACATTTCAGACAAAAATCCTGCCTGTTCCATCTGCAGCGGATCTACATTCTTGTCACTGGCAGTTTTAAGTTTACGCTGTCTCTTTAAATGTCCTGTCTGTTTGCTAACTTAAAACCAGTTGCAATCAGGCTGGAGGGCTCTGAGTAAAACATCCCTCCACAGCCTCTCAGTTAAAATCAGTTCTCCACATAGATCCTGCACTAAAGTCATTATAGCCATACTAAGTACAGGTTAATTACACTGATAAAGCCTTTTACCTAGCCACCTATGTGCTTAAATCTCTGTTACTCTTTAATCATTAACTCAGGTAAAAATTTTATCCTTTTCAAGAACTCTAATGCTTTTGATGACTGGTAGCTTTGCCAGCTTAAAGCAACAGCAAAGGCTCCAACTGTTACAAAACGGATTTCAAGAACAGGTATTTTAAGTTTATCTATATAAAGATAAAAAATATAAAATACATAAAAGTCTAAAGATACAAGTTGTAAGAATCTGAATGCATACAAGTTTTAAGGACATAAAAATAATTTTAAATTGTTTTCCCTTTCTATGATATAAAAGTTCAGAGCTTAACATTTAATAAAGTTCTGATAAGCTGATACAGCAGTGCCTACCTGCTGGCCAGTCACAAGCTCAAGGCTTTAGATTTCTTTTGGTTGTCATCTAAGTATACACTTAAAGGGCTCTACACCAGGCCACAGACACCTCTGTCCAATCCACACTGGGTTCTCTGAACAGAAGAAAAATGTACAGGCTTCTGACCCAAACCTGAACAGACTGTGTTGAGTACACAGTAGACACTGAAACTTCGATTTGATAATCAGCAGAAAACTCCATCCCATACTTGGGTTTATTAGAAACTGACAAACAAACAAACCCTGTACAAAAAAAAATCCCCCTGAATTCCTTATCACTTTGAAAGAGTAATCTTGAGAGACATTATCGCCTAGGACCCCCTCTTCCTGTGCGGTGACCACGCCCTCTTCTCAACCTCTTCCTGCAACTTCTCTTTTCTTAGATTTCACCTTAGGTTCAGCATCCACAGGTAATGTATCCAGATGCAAGCTGTCTGGTAGGATAAAATATCGGATGTTATTTCCTAGAATTCTCAGTGTTTCCAACAGTCAGGTTCTCTGTTTTTCAGAGTCGATTTCACAGCCTTAAGGTGTGTACTCATGCTGGCGTCTACACCTGCTCCATGGCTTGTGCTCCATTCTTCAATTCAATGGGTACAGCGTCATCAGAAATTTCACCAGCTTCATCCTAGTGGCACCGCCTCCCTTTGTCCTACTGGACACAGAATTCGAGCTCTTTTCCCAACTCTTTACTCTGAGGTAATGTCTGCCTGTGAAGTAGAGGTGTGTTTCTTGTATGAAGCAGAAAGATGTATTCTGTTTTTGTATCTGATCTATTAGCCTGTGTCTTTTTATAGGTGAGATGATACCATTTATATAAATGGCTATTAATGACCAGTGATTACTAGTTCCTGTTATTTTTGTTTTTGCTGTTGGTGATGTTTTTGTTTGTCTGATTCCCTTCCTTGGTGTTTTCTGCCCTAAGCTCATGTATTGCCTATGTTCTTGTGGATGTAGCTGACTTCCTTGGGCTGGTGTTTTCCTTCTAATACTTTGTGAAGATTTAGGTTTTGTGGATAGGTATTGTTTAAATCTGGTTTTGTCATGGAATATCTTTGGTTTTTTTGTTTGTTTGTTTTTGAGACAGGATTTCTCTGTGGCTTTGGAGGCTTTCTGGAACTAGCTCCTGTAGACCAGGCTGGTCTTGAACTCACAGAGATCCGCCTGCCTCTGCCTCCCAAGTGCTGGGATTAAAGGTGTGTGCCACCAATGCCCAGCTTGTCATGGAATATCTTTTTTTCTCCATCTATGGTTATTGAAAGCTATGGGTATAGTATCTGGGCTGGCATCCATGGTCCCTTAGTGTCTCCATAAAGTCTGACCAGGACCTTCAGGCTTTCATTGTTTCCATTGAGAAGTCAGGTGTAATTCTGATAGGTCTGCCTTTATACAATACCTGACCTTTCTACTTTGCAGCTCTTAATATTCTTTCTTTATTCTGTATGTTTATTGTTTTGATTATTAGGTGGCAAGGGAACTTTCTTTTTTGGTTCAGTCTATTTGGTGTTCTGTAAGCTTCTTGTGCTTTCACAGGCGTGTCCTTTAGGTTGGGAAAGTTTTCTCCTATGACTTTCTTGAATATATTTTCTGTGTCTTTGAGTTGGACTTTTTCTATCCATATTATTCTTAGATTCAGTCTTTTCATGGTGTCACAGATTTCCTGCATGTTTTATGTTAAGGGTTTGTTGGATTTAAAATTTCCTCTAACCAATGGAATCTATTTCCTCTAGTGTATCTTCAGTACCTGAATTCTCTCTTCCATCTCTTGTATTCTGTTGTTTGCTTGCATTTGTGGTTCCTGATCATGTACTCAGATTTTTCATTTCCAGAATTCCCTCAGTTTGTGTTTTCTTTATTGCACTATTTCAGATTTCATGTCTTGAATTGTTTCCTTCACTTGTTTGATTGCTTTTTCTTGGTTTT